TAGCCCAGGATAGCTACAGGTAATTGACAGATGGGGCCCTATAGCCCAGGATAGCTATAGGTAATTGACAGATGGGGCCCTGTAGCCCAGGATTATCTGCAGGTGATTGACAGCTGGGGCCCTTTAGCCCAGGATAGCTACAGGTAATTGACAGATGGGGCCCTGTAGCCCAGGATAGCTATAGGTAATTGACAGATGGGGCCCTGTAGCCCAGGATTATCTACAGGTGATTGACAGGTGACCAGCTTCTTGCACAGAGAATCCTGAACTATATTCCCTAACAGAGGGCTGCCAAATGGAGAGCGTTCCCGGTTCTGAGCTCCATCGGGCAGACAGGAAACTAACCAGGATAAGAAAAGTCAAGGGGAGTAGCCATACCAGGAGGGGAAGGGGAAGGTGTGAGGAGAAAGGGGCAACAGATTACAATGATTTACATGTAACCCCCTCCCAGGGGGACGGGCAACAGAAAAGTGGGTGAGGGGAGACATCGGTCAGTGTAAGACATGAAATAATGATAATTTATAAAGTATGGGGGCGCTTGTGAGGGAGAGAGGGGGAAAATAAGCTGATGCCAGGGCTCAAGTAGTAAAAGAATGTTTTGAAAATGATGATGGCCACAAGTGTGCAAATGTGCTTGACACAACGGATGGATGAATGGATTGTGATAAGAGTTGTGAGAGCCCCCAATAAAATGATTTAACAAAAGACAAGGCCGGAAAGATCCACGTGGATCGTCTTTGGGAGAAGAGAATCTTGTGGCCACCTGATTTAAAAGTCGCAAGGGAACATAAATATTTTCTGCTAGTATTTTAGAAGTATTTTAGTATTTTAGAAGCATCACCAAAGAGAAGTGAGCTTAGGTGTGTGTGTGTGTGTGTGTGTGTGTGCGTGTGACCATCCATTTATATGCAGGCAATTCATGCAGAAGCACATTTTAAAAAGCAGCTGGAGATAAATACATCTAACTAGTAACTGGTTTTCTTTGTTTATATGTTAGAGAGTTATACCATGCTCTCCTGCTGTCTGTTGATATTTTGGGGGGGGCGGGGGGGGGGCACATTGCCAGACACATTTTTAAACAGAGGAGCCTTTAACAAGAAGCCACGTTGAGTATCTTCCATGGGAGGATTAGTGAGTGAGTGTGTGGCATAGCCTTTTCTTCAGCACCCCTTTGTGGTTTGTTCTGGAACTTCCCCAGTCTCTTAAAAAGGAAAATAAGTGATGAAATTACCTTTTGGAAACTGAGCCTTAAATTTTTTAAAGGGAGAAATAAGTATTTCCCGACTCACACAGCATAGCAATGTTTGATAGCAATATAATGTCATCTTCAACTCTGAGAGTGTTACGTATCTCTGGAAACCATATACAGAATGTGAAACCGTCTTATGGTGAACATAAATAAATTCTATATTTCTAAAAAAATGATTTAAGAAAAGAAAAGTCCGAGGACCATTCTCTGAAGGAGCGGAGGTCCAAGGCCTCCATTTCCTCCCTACATGTTTTTCTGGGACCTGTGTGGGTTTGGGGTCTCCTTAGAGATGTTACAACGTGTAACAATTTGACAGTCACAGTGAGTGGTCCGTGTTGTTGTTATTGTTAGGTGCCATCGAGTTGGGTCCGATTCATAGGGACCCTAAGGTCCACTAAAGGAAGCACTGCCCCATCCTGCACATCCTCACAATTGTTCGTGTGTTTGAACCCATTGTTGCAGCCACGGTGACAATCCATCTTGTGTAGGGCCTTCCTCTTTTAAACTGCCCCTGTGTTTTACCGAACAGGATGCCCTTCTCCAGGGGCTGGTCTCTCCCAACATGTCCAAGCCGTAGGTTGCTGTAAAAGCAAAACCTTTCGGACTCAGAGCAACCCTGTAGGGCAGGGTGGAACTGCCCCTGTGGGCGTCCGAGACTGTGACTCCTGTGGGGAGTAGCAAGCCCAAGCATCAATCCTTGTTCGACTCTCCTCGTTAAACAGAGCCAGAGGGACATTGCCAGAAGGATAAAATCCAAAAGGTTTTTTTTTAATTCTGATTTGTTCAGTAGTTTGAGTGGCATTTATCTACAATTTGCAGGGTCCCGAGGAGTGGTGCAAAACTCCTGTGCCTTCTAGAAACTTCTACTCAAAGAGTGTACTCCAGATGAGCATTACCTGAAAACTGGTAAGAAAGGCTGAATCTGAGGCCTGACCCGGAACTCTTGACTCCAGATGCTGTGGTTTAACATCTCCAGGCACCTGATAGCCTGAGAAGCAACGTTGTAGAAGTCTACAAGCTGATCAAGGCAAAACTGACCAACTTGAAAAAAGCCAGCAATGTCCTGGGTGTGAGTGCTATCAACCAGGAATCTTCTGACTTGTCTGTAGCACTGGGAGGTGGGGGTGGTGGGTGGGGGCGTGCTGCAGTTCACACTTGCTTTGAAGGGAGGGAGAACACATTGACAAATGGATGTTCCAGACAGCGACTGTCGCAGTTTCCTCATCTCCTGTCAGCTTGCGAAGGGGGGGAGTCTAGCCTGTCAATCGGGTTGCAGCTTGATGACCTCATTTGGAGGTGTGACAGAGATAAATAGCTCCCACGCACGCTCTGCTTGTCTTCTTGCTGACAAGACACACGGAGCAACGCTGGGCTGGAGAAGCCACGTGGAGACCCACACCAGTGTTGAGATGAGATGCTTCCACCGCCACTGGAGCCACAAGACTTTCCACCCTCTGGCCTGTGAGCTTTCTTCTTCCCGCATTCAGTGTCATTGCATGTGCTGCGTGAGTCTGAAGAAGATTATATAGACTGGTAACGCACATATGGGCTCATTTTGGATTTATGGACTTGATCTGGACTGGACTGAGAGGTTTTCTTAATGTACATTGCTCTTTGACATAAAGTTCTCTCACACACATATGAGTGTGTATGAATTGGTTTCCCTCATCAACCCAGACCAACACAGCAACCAGGAAGAGCACATCACAAACAGCACCCCCACGGATGGAGTGCTTATCCACATCCCCCTTGATAGCAACACTGTAACCTTTGCCCTAAAATAGAAAAACATCCTTGTCTAGTGTACACAGACTGATTCTTATTACAAAATAATAATCTGTTGTTCCAAGGTACTTTCTAAAGGAATTTTTTTTCTGTTTGTTGACATTTATCATTCAATATTTAAAAGTGTATTTGCTAAGTTGCTAGCGGGGCTCAGGATGATCTGACTGTATGAAGTCATTCAAACCCACCAGTAACTGTGGGAGAAAGACCAGGCTGTCTGTTCTAAAGACTGACTGTGTCCGAAGCCCTATGCAGGATAGGGTTGTTATGCATTAGAATCGACTTCCTGGCAATGTGTCCATATTAACTTACAGCCATGCGAACCATGAACACACTCAGTTGCTAACTCCAAGTCTGGAGTCTACCCAGAGGCATCACAGAGGAAAGTCCAGCTGGTCTACCTCCAAAAAAATCAACTCCTGAAAATCCTAGTGAGCACAATTCTGCTGTGAGCACACGGGGCCCCGGGAGTCAGAATCGACTCAGGTCACATAGGTGATGGCACTTTGAGACCACGTGTGTATGCTTCAAAGCCCTGACCACCTCTCACCCAACGGTTTGGGCATCGATTAGTGATTGGTTCTTCTTGCCCTAGGGGTTATTATTATTATTACCTTGTGAGCTACTCTCATTGCTGTCAAGAGCAAACTAAAGCTTCTGTTAAAATGGAAATAAAGAGTGTGGGGATATACATATATATATTTGCCCTTGGATAAATGTTGGCCTTTTGGTCTCACATGGTTGATTGTCCTAAGCTGTGTCTAGGGTCATTGTTCCCCTGGCAGAACTGTGTCGTTTGACTTTGAGGCTGATAAAGGGCCGTAGACTCAGGGTTTCCCCCAGTCTCTGGCAGAGGGTGGTAAGTCTGCCCTTTTATAGGATGTTGGGCTGTGCTCGCTCGATATCTCCCCTCCCCTCCCCTGACTATTAACCCAGGTTCTGTTAGGTAGCGAGATAGAGGAACGGGATTGTCCCTCCCATGCCTGCAAAGGCCCCCTCGAGGAGGCTGGGAAGAAATCAGGTGACCTTTAGACACCTAGTCAAGCCGTGCATGCAAGCCAGGTGGGAGTTACACCTGGGTGGTCCAAACTAGGCCCAGACTCATGACCTCACCCAGGTGGGCTCAACCCAGCCAATAGGGCTGACCCATACCATCAACCATGCCTCCCCAGCCAGAGGCTTGAAATATCCTGGCTGGGGAAAGGCTGCTCTCTCTTACCCTGCTTTTGGTCAGTGGCAGGTTGGGGTGTGGGGGTGCATACATGCTGCCTGAGTGTGCCCCCTCAGGATCCGCTCCGGGTCAGCTTGGGGCCCACATGCAACCACTCCAGGCCTACTCGGGGACCACAGCCTCTCTTGCCACACCTTCTAGCCTCTGTGGCCTCTTGTCTCTTTCTCCCTTGACCCCTTGGTCCCTGGGGTCCCTCCCTCAGTTCCGCACCTGTGGGTGCGCTGTTCCACAAGG